GCAATGCAGTACTTCCAAAGATCTGGTTAGGCACTTCTGTTTTTCTTATTTTAAGCTTATGCTTTACAAAGTAAGTTGTTTGTTTTTTGTTTTGTTTTGTTTTGTTTTAAATGAATCGCCTTTAAAGTAGTGGGGGCAAAACACCAGAGCTTAGGCAACCCCTGGTGGAGGCTTTTACAATTCCTCTACTTTTTGGCTCTGACAGCACGAGGGTTGCCTGCTCTAAGCCCTGCCTATCCACCCACCCAGAACTGAAGTGGCTGAATCATTGCCTGGCATGACAGGAAAGTCTTGGGCTTGAGGGGAGAAGAAAAAGAAAAGAAGAGAGGGAAGAGGGTGGGACGAGAACTGGAAGGAAGAGGAAGCAAGGGAAAGATTGTTCAGAGGATGATGCAAGATGTCCACAGGCAAATGGGACTGGGACTAACTCTTCCATCATGAGAGAATGTCTCAGCTCCTAAAGTTCTTGACATAGTGTGTGACCCAGGGTAGGAGCCCAGCAAACGTCAGGGCTTCTGTGATGCCCAGCCCCTTGGCTGCCCTGTCATGCTCCATGGGACTTCACTTCTTCCTGGGAAGTAAAACAGAATCAGATTCTGGTTGTGTTGCCATTCACTTTCACTCCTCTGGAACCCCAGGGAGCCTAGAGCTGCTACTGCTGCACCTCAGTCCTCAGGGCAGCACAGACCTGGCTATGGAACTAGATGCTTATGGATGACTATCTGTACTCTCCAGAGTTCAGATTGAGAGCAGAGTTCTCGCACATTGCCTCACGCACCTTGAGATAGTCTCTTCTGGGAACAGTGCCCTCTGTGCCCAGCGTATTTGGGTAACATTCACAGCTGACGTTAGGCTCCTCCTTGGAACACCATTTCATGTGCCCACAGAGTCTAGGGCCCTGCCTGTGACTCTGCAGGGGAGAGAGCCCTCACTGGCATTGGGCTGAGGACAGCCTGGGACATTCCCTTTCCTCATCCAGGTAGTTCTCATCATGGTTCTCATCCCGAACCGTTGAAACCCCACGAAGGTACTAGCCCCGGTGAAAAAGTAGTAAATGGACTGGGCAGAGCCTGCCCTTGAGGAGTGCCCATCCAAGGATCCCTGGATCTGGAATGAGAGACAGATCTTGAATTCTCCCCTGAATCCTCATCCTACCACTGTGTGGGACTATGTACCAGTTTGCCAATGTGCATTGTCCCCTCCTCCTGGAGTTAGGATCAAAGGTGGGGGTAGAAGTCCAAGAGCGAGGGGAGGCAAGAGAAGGTCCAGAGTCCTAGAACTCCTCTCACACCAAATCCACATATCTTAGCTACAGAAGTATCTGGGGCAGTCCCCTTTGCTTCCTGTGACACTAAAGTGGCATGAGAAAGCAGCTGAATTTTCCTGTGCCTCCAAGGAGGTAAGAGAGGGAGGGAGAGAGAAAGAGGGAAAGAGAAAGAGGGAGGGAGCGAGAGGGAGAGGGGGAGAGAGACCGAGAGAGTGAGAGGGAGAGCGCACCTCCAAAAAATGTCACAATAGAAAATGGCATGGACTGTGCAGCTAGGAACCAGGTTAGAATGACACCACCACATTGGAAGACAGCATGAAGGTATGCTATCTCTGAGCACTGGATGGGATTGTACATTGGAGTGGATGCTGGCAAGGACAGGTTGCCGTTGACAACGAGCAGATTCTCTTCTCTCTTGCTGTCTCTCTCTGAATTTAAGAGCCTTACAGAATTTAGGTGATAGGCTGGGGCAAAAGAGACAATCCTAAATCGCTTGATAACAATAATTGGTAATTAGTAAGACAATCCTGAAGTAACTGGGAAAATGTGGAATTGACTAAATTTTCTGTTATCTGTTGGAATTGAGACTCAAGATAGGGCTCTTTTGTGGTAGATGCTATTCTAGGTGGCCCCCAAGTTTCCTGCCCCCTAGTGTATGTGACCCCTTGCGTACGGGTAGAATGTACTACAATCAGCCTCCTTATCAATGTGTTCCACATCTGTGGATTCAGCCAACTGTTGAATTTGAAAAAGATGGATGGTTGTCTCTGTAGTGAACATGTACAGACTTTTTTTCCTTGTCATTATTTCATAAATAATGCAGTGTAACAACTATTTTCATGGCAGTTACATTGTACTAGGAATTATAAGTAATCTAGGGGTAATGTAAAGTATATGGGAGGATGTGTGTATGTTATATGTAAATACTGCACCATCTTATATAAAGGACTTAAGCACCTGTGGATTGTGCTATCCACAATCCTGAGCTTTAAGTGAGAATGCAGTCCTTCAGTGCAACCTTTTGAGATCCTGAACTTAAGACCCAGCTTAGCTGTGCCTGGATTTCTGACCCACAGAAACTAGGAGGTGATAAATGAGTGGTGTTTACAGCCGCTAAGCTTGTGGTCATTTGTTACATAGCATTGATTGGCCCTTATCCCTCATTCACTGAAGACTCAGGTACCAGGCTCACAGATGACCTTGGTACCCTGTGTCCTGTCATCATTCTGGGGGACTGCAGTGTATTCATCAGCAGCTTGTGCCACTCACAGACCCTTGACTTCTTCCTCATCTCTAACCTCTAGCAGTCTCTTCCTCCCCGCCTCAGCTTCCCAGCTTCAAGGCCACATCCTTGACCTTTAAATCACCAGGATCTGTTTTACCTCAGAAATCTTAAATTTCAGGATCTCATTCTGAGACTAAAACCAGTACTCTCACACCCTTGCTGCCTCTCTACATCCTCAACCATCTCCTAGATCTTTCTTTGTCCCCAGTCCACTAGTCTTCTTAACCACTGTCAGCCACCTGAACTGCTCTCTTACTGGCTCTCTCCACTTGCTCCCACTCTTGTCTTTCTGCTGCTATGAGCCCCAGCAAAACCTTAAGCTTACACCAGAGCAAACAGACAACAAAAACAAACACACACAATTGTGCCAAGTGGTGTATATAATTTTCTATCCCAGCTGAGCCCATCAATCTTGTTAAATTTTGAATTGTTTATAGGTAGTGTTAGTTTACTAGGGCTGCTGTAACAAAGTACTACAAATTATGTGGCTTAGAACAACAGAAATGCATTGTCTTACAGTTCTGGAGACCGGAAGTCTTAAATGAAAGTGCCAGCAGGACCATGCACCCTCTGAAACCTATAGAAGAATGCTTCCTTGCCTCTTCCTAGCTTGTGGTTTGCTGGCAATTGTTGGCATCCACTGGCTTGTAGATGTATCACTTCAATCCACTGTCTTCACATGAGTGTCTTCTCTCTGTGTGTTTGTGTGTGTGTCCAAATTTTTTCTTTTGATAAGGACCCCAATCATATTGGATTAGGGCCCAACCCAGTTACCTCCTTTTAACTTGATTACCCTGTTAAAGACCCTGTTTCTAAATAAGATCACATTCTGAGGTACTGGGTGTTAGGACATACAATTTTTGGGGGAGGACACTAACACATAAGTCAAAAAAGACCAAAATACATATCACACAAAGCAAAGGCCCTCTGCCCTGCACCTTCCCTCTTCTGTTCTCATTTTAAATATTTCTATTTTCATTTCTTCTAGTAGATTGTCCCTGTCTTTCTAAATACTATGTTACTGCTATATCAACTTTCTAATGTTTTCAACCTTAGACATTGCTGACTTCTTCCTATGATAGATGAGATCACTTATCCATTCCCTTTTTATGTACATATTTTTAACCTTGGATTTTGGAAATTGATCAAACCTATACAAGATTACAGAAAATAGTGTAATAAACCCCAGGTGTTCATCAATGAACTTCATTGGTTATCAACTCATGACAAATTTTGTTTCATCTCTCCCTGCCATTTTCCCTTCTCCTTTTACTATATAGATTTATTGCCACTTTTAAGTTTTCTATTGTTTACTTTTGTATCCTTAAATATCCCTAAATCTGTATTTCTCTTTCTATGAACTGGGGACAACTATTGATTTTTCTTTTTTTATTTTATTTTATTTTTTTTTTGCGATAGGCCGGGGCAAAGGACACAATCCTAAATTGCTAACCCTAAGTTAATGTGCCTACGTTTCCTGCCATCTGCCTTCCTCCTCCTCCCAGCTTTTTGCCAGCTGTTAGTTACTGCAGGCCAGGTTCCCAAGGAAGCCGACTAAGATGGAGAGTAATGTGCAGGAAGTTTCTTAGGGAGTACTCTTAGGATCAACACCTGTGGAAGGGGAGGGGAGGGAAGAAATCAAAATTCAACAGACTGAGAAAGTGGGCAGTTTCAAATAAGGTTTCAGTTAACCCCACAGGGAGCTCTGAAGCTGAGATGGCCTTTCAGAGATGTCCCAAGTTGGGGTAAGGGGCTGGACCTTTATACCTTCAAGTTGAATCATTGATGTGGGCTTCCTGAGGACAGGGGTGATCTTGGCTGAGGTGCCTATCTTTTTCTAAGACACTTTCTGATGAGGGCTCACGACAGCTAACAGCTCTCAAGCCAGCTAGGGAAGTAAAATTTTTGGTCTTCAAGGGAGATCTGAGCAGTGCATCACAGCACCATCACAGCTATATTTGTACCTTCCCATTGTCCATTGTCGTTTAGTCATAATTAAGTCATCTGGGCTTTGTTATAGATTGATTCTCAAAGTTGAAAATCCAACTGTGTTTGCAGTATTAGGACGGTATAATAGTATTCAGTACAGTACAGTGTAGGGCTAAGATTCCATCTCCCCACAATTGCTGCTCTCTCTGCTTGGCGCACCCTTCTTGCAGACCTCAATGCGGCTTGCTCCCTCACTTCCTTCAAAATTTTGTTCAAATGCCCCTTCACTAGTGAGGCCCTGCCTGGCCACCCCATAGAAAATAACAAGCATGCCCCGCACCCACGCTTTATTTTTCTCCAGACCGGGTATGCCCACCAACTGACTGACTATCTATCTATCTATCTATCTATCTATCTATCTATCTATCTATCTATCTAATCTATCTGTCTGTCTGTCTGTCTATAGTTTTAAGCTCCACCAAGGCAGGGACATAGAGCCCCAGTACCAACAACAGCGCCTGGTATACATATTTGCGATACTTAAGAATTAGTTGAAGAAATGAATAGGAAAGGGAGTCCTTTTAGATGGAGCAAGGGACTTTCTCAAAAGTCCTCATGGAAGGAGAATGGCATTGAGGCTGGATTACAAGAAGTGTGTCTTTTATAAAGATAACAAGGAGGGGCAGGGCTTCCAGGTGAAAGGCATAGCACAAGCAAAGGCAAAATAGATGGGTAACTGCTAGTTGTTAAGGGCAGTGGTTGAATCGCAATACCCCTAGCAGTTCTACACCTAGGGGCCTGCGGGCCGCTGGGTCTGCGAAGCTTGCAAAGCAGCTGGCCCGCCCCGGCTCTGCGCCTGTTTCTCGGCCACGCCTACTGCCGCAGGATGACGCGCACCTCTAGAACCCGCCCCCAAAGGGAGGGACGCAGGGAAGAGTCGCACAGACGCACTCGCACCGTGGCCAGCGCCCGGGCCTCCGGGCCCGGGCGGCGGCTGTGTTGCGCAGTCTTCATGGGTTCCCGACGAGGAGGCCTCAGTGGCTGCGGCGGCTGCTGCTAACTGCGCCACCTGCTGCAGCCTGTCACCGCCGCTCCGGAGCGGCCGCGTCGAAGCCGAAATGCCGACGCCCGGGTCCGGCCGAGGCTTTCTCTGGCTGGGTCTGGTCCTGAGCTCCGTCTGCGTCGCTCTCGGATGCGAGACGCAGGCCAACTCGACCACAGGTGCCGCCCACGCCCTCCCTGCCGTCTCCCCTCCTCTCTCCTCTCCTTCCTCCTTTGTTTATATCCATTGTTTTTATTCTCCCTCTCTCCTACCATTCCTTCTTTCATCCATCCATCCATCATTCGTTCCCTTCCTCCATTTTTTACTCCTTCCTACCCTCCCTTCATCCCTCCCTTCCCTCCTTCCTTCTATTCATCCATCCTCCTCCTATCCCTCTGCTTCTCTTCCTCTTTTCCCCCATCTTTCCCGTCTCCATCCATCTTCACCCTTCCTTTCCTCCCTCCATTAGTCCATCCGTCCCTTTTACCTTCTATCTATTCATATTTCTGTCTCTCTCCTTCCTTCCTTCTCTCTATCCTTTCTTCCCTTCAACTATGCATCTTTTCCTCCTTATCTTCCTCCATCCAACCATCTGTCCTTTCCTCCATACATCATTCTCTTTTTTTCCTAAATTCATCTTTCCTTTCCACCGTCTTTCACTCACTATCTCGCTTCCTCACCCAGGTTTGAGGCCATTACCAAAGCCTAACCCTGCCACCCAGGACTCAGGCTTCCTCCTCGAGCCCCACTCCCACCCTTGCCGAGGCACAGCCCCCTCCCTGCCTGGGCTGCTAAGGTGCAGGGTCCAGCCTTGGGCCTCTTAGGAACCTAGCACCTACCATGAGGGAGGGTTCAGTGTCAGTGCAGGTTACCTCACCAAAGCCCCTCCCTCCTGTGTAGATGCTCTGAACATTCTTCTCATCATCGTGGATGACCTGCGCCCCTCCCTGGGCTGTTATGGGGATAAGCTGGTGAGGTCCCCAAATATTGACCAATTGGCATCCCACAGCCTCCTCTTCCAGAATGCCTTTGCGCAGGTATGTCTGGGAACCTCTAGCTGTGGGTGTGTGCCTCCTCGGGCACTGAGGGTTGGGGTCGGTGAGCTTCAGCTATTGTCAGATGGCGCAGATTGTGCAGGACATCTTGTTAGAGGGAAGCAGTCTAGAAAATGGTAGTGGAGAAAATCTGGCTTTCTACTCATGGGAAAGCTTGACCTTCAAGGGTGGCCTTCTCCTTGGGTGGAAGGTCTGCCCTGGACCTAATGTGCTCACGGCAGTACTGGCCAGCTTTCTCCCAGAACGGGGGCTTGCCTGCTGCTCAGAAGGAAGGGGTACTGCAGAAGGGCACCCACAGGTCTGCAGACTGGGCCTCAGGTAAGAGCTAGTCAGGGTGGCTCTGTTCCCTGAACCCCCTCATGGCTCTGCCCCCAGCAACACTGGCAGCTCTGCGTGCCTGGGGAGGCCATTGCGTAGGAGGAGATAAGCATCTGCTGATTTCAGGGGCTGATTGCTTCCCTTTCTCTCTCCGGGAAGCTGTCTGTTGCCTAGGTGATGCCCAAATCCCAGTGTCTGGTTTGAGCTCTGCATGACTCAGCTACCAAGCTGTTTGCTAGGGGCGTCAGGAGGGCAGTTGCTTGGCTACCTAAGAGATAGCAGACATGTTTTGCTGTGAGGACATTTACCTCTGCTTCTGCTCCCTAACAGCAAGCAGTGTGCGCCCCGAGCCGCGTTTCTTTCCTCACTGGCAGGAGACCTGACACCACCCGCCTGTACGACTTCAACTCCTACTGGAGGGTGCACGCTGGAAACTTCTCCACCATCCCCCAGTACTTCAAGGAGAATGGCTATGTGACCATGTCGGTGGGAAAAGTCTTTCACCCTGGTACTGCTCCATGTTCAGAGTCTGGGTTCTCTTGGTTTGTGGTATCTGAATCCAGCAATCCCGTCCTGGGGATGGGGCTGTCTTTGCAGATCGCTCTTCTGGCTGGGCGAGTGCCTCGCTATTCAGTGCTTCCTTTCTGAAAAACCAACTTGTCAACCCAGCTACATGTTCTCACCCAAAGTGGAAAAGGGTAGAAAGAGCTTTGCTACCTTTCAGAAACCACTGAGGGTGTGCCGTTGGGTCCTTCAGCTCCTTGGGTGGTAGGCAGGACACGGGTTGAGGAGGTGGCAATGTTGGGTGAAGTCCAGCTCGGGGCCCCACCCTCCTCCCTGCAGGGTACCTGTCAGTAAACCTAGGGGTGGGTTGAGGACACCTGAGGGCCTCCCATGTGGCAGCATTGCTGTTGCTAACTGATTGCCCAGTGAGGGGGCTGTGCTTAGGTGGGGGCTGCTACCCACTCTGGAAATTAAGTCAGAAAGATGAGTATAATCTGGTACCCAGGAACTATAGGGTGCCAGAGATGGACATTCCTTACCTCAAATGCTGCCTGATAAACTGGCTGTCTTTAATGCCAATATGGGGATAGTGAAAAGCAAACAAACTTTAAAACTTTTTGTTTATAGAAGTAATGCATGAGTATTTGAGAAAAATGGAGAAAAAAGTATTGGAAGACAAGAGCACCATAGGGACAATAATGCTTATCATTTGGGAATGACGGCTTGAATGTTTTCAGTCTCTTTCCCTTTGCTCATTGGTTACACTGGCAGGCCTGGCAGCCTTCTGCAGGAACCCAGCTGGTCAGGCTGGTCAGCCCAGGTTGAGAGTAACATTCAACTCTACTAAGTCAGGCCAGTTTCAGAGGTGAACCTGTCGCGAATCATATTGCACAGGCAAAAGTCCAGTGTCAGGAGAACTTTCTGCAGTTTGTTGTTCTCATTACCACACCCCTTGCCTGAATGCAGCTGCAGGGAAGTGATGATTTTGGAGAGAGGAGGAAACACAGCAGAGGGTGGAGATTGTGCTTTGGGAGGGGAAGCCAGGCAAGGACTGAGTGATGTTGCTTGACTTCCTCCCTCCTGATGATTGGATTTTGGCATCAGGCTCTAAGCGCCATGTCCTTCCCAGAGAATAAACCTTTTCTGGCAGCCCTTGTGGGAACACATTTTTCAGCTGAGTCTTTGTTCTCAAGACCTTTTTCTGTTAGCATTGGGCCTGCTTCAAGATGGCAGTAGCCACCACTGAGTGCCAGGTATGTACCGTTTACCATGCTGGCCACTCCTTTAATCCTCCCAACAGCAAGCGAGGTGGGTTTTTATCATCATCATCATTTCCCAAGGAAGACATGGAGGCTCATGGGAGTCAAGTAGCTTGCCAGAGGTTGCAGGGATGCTAAGAGGCAGCATCCGGATTTGGACCTGTGGTGGTTGGCCTCCTGTGTGCTCTTTCCACAGTGCTTGCTGTGTTCATAGGTCCTCCACCCGCTGCCCTCTTTCTCTGCATTCCTGCCTCTTCTGGTGCTCCCTATTGGAGTCCTACTGTGTGACTGTTGCTGATGCTTTCTCGCGAGGTTCTGCCTGTGATCCCCTCCACTCCTGGCTAACCACTATAGGCAGCGCTTCCCTTCAGATCCCTCACAGGCCTTACTGGCTTCTAGAAGTCCTCCCTGCTAGTCCTCACCTGACTCACAATAACCTCTGTGCTTGGAGGATCCCCCACTTGGCTCTTCGATGCTTCTGAAAGCTGGCAGTCCTTCCTTGGTTTCCAGTACTACTATATTGTCTTCCCAAATAAACTATAAAACTACTAAGCTTAAGGGTGGGTTTCTGCTTCATGAATGAGCACTGGAACTTGCAGTTCTAAAACATGGTTTTGAGTCCTGGCTGCCTTATCTAATATCTGGTTAGCATCGGATAAGGCACATACCTTCCCTGAGCCTCCCCTTCCTGCCCCCGTCAACTCCCTGGTGGTGCTGATGCCTCTACTGCCTCCTTCATAGGGTGAGAGAGAGGTTTCAGCATGGGCTCTAAGGAGCTGACTGTTCTTGTCCTTGTGGGTCCTTTCCACAGAGCCTATCACAAATCATTAGGGCTTAGGGACCAGGAAGTCAGATGCTCAGTTCTCAAATAGAAACTAGAGAGTTTGGCTTTAGAGGGGACTTTTATAGATGAGGAAACAGCCCCGAAGAAGAGAGGTTCCACTTGCCCTTTTGTTTACAGAGTTTTAGTTATGGGGAGTGTTTTAACAACTTTTTTTTATGTCATGTTTTAACAACTTTTTTGTCATGTTTTAACAACTTTTTTTTTTTTTTTTTTTCAAGGGATTTTTTTTTTTTTTTTTCAAGGGATAACTTCTAACCATACCGATGATTCTCCATATAGCTGGTCTTTTCCACCTTATCATCCTTCCTCTGAGAAGTATGAAAACACTAAGGTAAGGCTGTGAAAGGGACATTTCTGAAGAGGAACCACTTTTTCCTTTGTCACATAAACTACTGGGTATACTGCATGTTCTGTGAAGCTGGTTATATACCGCAAAGTTGTGGGTTTCATTTGTGATAATGTCTTGACAGAAGTAAGTTCAGCATTAGGCCCGACAGGAGCAGTGGCTTCATTCTAGAAGCTGGTGGGTGCTACTTGTTCTAAAACCTTGGGCTCTAACGTATCAGAATCATTGAATAGCTCCCCAATGCTCACTCTGGATGAGACTAGGAGATGCTGAGACGTGGGAGGGAGAAAAGAGGCTGAGCTCCAGGAGCCTTAGCCCAGAATGGGAGAGAGGCATGCCGTGTATCTGTCTCAGACCTAATGTGTATGTTCAGCAGCTGAGACATCTGATAGGGGTTTTAAATTTTTAGAGCATTATGAAAAAAAGTAACCTACAAAGAAAATCGTGGTTTAGAGGAAACCCAAATATATAAATGAAACTAAAACCCACATTTAAAGAAACTCAGAAAACCAACTGGGGAACTGAGAAATGAAATGTACCTCTGAGGTTTTAGTAAACATGTTGGGAAGGGTGAGGGTTTGGAGGTGAGGTGGAAGGTATTGTTCTAAATTCCTGACAGCTTTCCATTTCAGAATACAGTGAAAACTGTGAGCTCTGGCCTTTGGCTTGTGGCTTGAATAGGGAAGATCCCATCTTAATTCCCTGAAGCCATCTTGCTCCTGTTTTAGTGGCCTCACTTACGAAGGCCAGGTCCCTGCCCTAACTGCCCCCCTACCCATTTCTTCTCAAAGTGGCGGGTCTGACAACACTAAATCTCCCTCAAGTGCTGCAAATTGCGTATATATAGATGATGAACAAGTGGTCTGAGGCGGGTGCTGGGCTGTCCTGCCCAGGGGTGGGGTGAGCAAGGCAGGGCTGTGAAAAGGCAGCAACACTCTTTGAGATGGAACAGCAGCTAACACAGCCCCTTGGTCTTTGTGATATACACATCATGGTCAAAACTAACTTTGGTCTCACGGCCAACATGTCTACTTTGGGAAATAAAGCAGGAGGTTTCATTCTGTGCCTAGTGTAGCTGAAGATCTGGAAATTCCATGGACTGTCACCTTATCAAGTTGACTGGGACCCTGTCATTTACAAGCCTTAACCTGTCTTTGTAATTTGAAATGTTTTTTTTTTCTTTTTAATTTTTTAATTAAAATAGAGTTCATATACCATAATGCTCTCTCTTTTAAAGTATACAATTTAATGGTTTTTAGTATACTCACAGAGTTGTCCAGCTACACCAAATCGATCTTAGACCATTTTTATCACTCTCAAAAGAAACCATGTACCCATTACCAGTTGTTCCTCATTTTGTCTCAGCACCCAGCCTGGGACAACAACTGAACTATTTTTGGTCTCCATGGATTTGTGTATTTTGTCCATTTGGTATAAATAGAGTCATACACTATGTAGCCATTTGTTTCTGGCTTCTTTCACTTAGAATTCTGTTTTTGAGGTTCAACCACGTAACAGTATAAATTAGTACTTCATTCCTCTTTTTTTTTTTGAGACAGAGTTTCACGCTTGTCACCCAGGCTGGAGTGCAATGGTGCTATCTCAGCTCACTGCAACCTCCACCTCCCAGGTTCAAGCGATGATTCTCCTGCCTCAACCTTCCGAGAGCTGGGATTACAGGTGTCCGCCACGACACCCAGCTAATGCTTGTATTTTCAGTAGAGACGGGGTTTCACCAGGTTGGCCAGGCTGGTCTCGAACTCCTGACCTCAGGCAATCCACTCACCTCCTAAAGTGCTGGGATTAGAGGTGTGAGCCACCGCACCCAGCCTTTCATTCCTTTTTATGGCCACATAATTGTCTGTTGTACCACATTTTGTTTATCAATTCATCACTTGATGGATATTTGGTTGTTTCTACTTTTGACTATTAGAAATAGTGCTGCCTTTGACATTTTTGTACAAGTGTTCTTATGGTCATATATTTTTCGTTTTCTTCAGTATAATAACTATGTTTAACTGTTTAAGGAATTGCCAGACTGGTTTTCAAAGTGACTGCACTATTTTACATTCCCACCAGCAATGTGAGAGGGTTCTAATTTTTCTGCATCCTCATCAACACTTGTTATTTTCCATCTTAAAAAATTATAACCACCCTATTGGGTGTAAAGTGGTTTTGATTTGCATTTCCGTAATGACTAATGATGTTAACCACATTTCCATGTTCAGTTGGCCATTTGTATATCATCTTTGGAGAAATGTCTATCCAAATCCTTTGCCCATTTTTAATTGGCATTTTTTTATTGTTGAATTAGAGATTGATTTTTTTTAGTAGTCTACTGGGGTTTCTTTTAATTAGTTATGATATGGAGAAAGAGTATTAGTGGCAAGAAACTAAGTGCTAGTGGATTTCTGGCCCCTGCCTGGAAAACAAGAAACACTTTTCTGTTTTAATTCTACTTCTGATGTCTCTGTTCAGTCTGAATAACACATGAAGGGCTGATTATGTGAACATTAAATCTGTGTGTGTAGCCTTCATGGCTTCCATTTCTTGCACTTAAAAAGCTGATGTTGTATATTTTGTTTTGAAAGACATGTCGAGGGCCAGACGGAGAACTCCATGCCAACCTGCTTTGCCCTGTGGATGTGGTGGATGTGCCCGAGGGCACCTTGCCTGACAAACAGAGCACTGAGCAAGCCATACAGTTGTTGGAAAAGATGAAAACGTCAGCCAGTCCTTTCTTCCTGGCCGTTGGGTATCATAAGCCACACATCCCCTTCAGATACCCCAAGGTGAAGAGCTGGTTGAAGGCTGATCCAGCACAGCCACCACAGCTGTGTTGTTTGTTGAGGGAGGGATTTGCACAGGGAAGGTGGCCACATCCTGCCATCCCCAGGCATCATGGATGCCTGATGGGCACTAGTGTCCTCAGTGGAGTGAAGATGGGATTTAGAGGCCAAGGCCAAGAACATGTAAGAGTCTTGTAAGAAATGCTTGGCTTTCCACTTCCCTCCACTGGAGGATTTGATTTCCTTTCCTTGAACTTATCAAGCGCATGTTGGGTTGGATGGCGAGATCACCACAGAGAAGTGAATCAGAGCTGGCTGCCAAGGCCTGTAATAAGGGATGGCCCTTGCAGAACAGCCCCAGGGAATATGAAGCCCTCTTTAAAAACTGCCTGTTCCCCCGAGCCTGTCAGGTTAGATCGTGTAAACACAAAGCACTGCATTGCTTCTTGGAACCTCAAATCCTGTACTTGCTTGTATGTCATTTAGAGCATGTAGTCTTTTCTGTTTTAGAATCCTTTTCCATTTTTCCCTATCATGTTTTATGAGGGCCTGAGTATCCCATCCTTTTGACTTTGCAGAGAATGCCCCTCACATGTAATGAGAGTAGAGACCAGCGGTATGCTTTTTGATGCTGCAGGTATCTTGCTTTGATTGGCCCAGGGGATCTTGCCTTCCTAGTAGGAGCTGTCAGCCCCCTTGATAGAAGAAGGCTGTGAGGTTCACCTCTCCTGCCTCTTTGCAGACAACAGTTAACAAAGCTGACCTGGCTGTGATTCTTTGAAAGGCCTGCTTATAAGTCTAGCCCTTGGCTGGCATCTGGGAACTTTGATTTCCAGAGTGTTCCCACTACTCCCAGAATTGACTTACTATGCTTAAACTGTTTAGACAAACATTGTGGTTGATGATGAACCCCTGTTTTTTTTTTTTCTGGGAGTCTGGCATTTTGGTATGTTTCAGACAGACAATGCCTACCTGACCAGCCCCAAATAAAAACTGGATAATGAGGCTTTAATGAGCTTGCCTAGTTAGCAGCATTTCACATGTATTATCACACAGCTCATTGCTGGGAGAAGTAAGTGTATCCTATGTGACTTCCCTGGAAGAGGACTTGAAGCTTGTGCCTAGTTTCCTCTAGACTTTGTCTCATGTCCTTTTTTCTTTGCTGAGTGTGTTTTACTGTAATAAATCATAGCTGTGAGTGAGACTAAATGCTGAATCCTATGAGTTCCCCTAGTGAATTACTGAACCTGAGGGTGATTTTGGGAACCCAACACCTCATGACACTTTTCTAGCCAGGCAGGAGGTGGGGACAGGAACAGAAGGGCATCTGTTTGTATGAAGGAAGAGAGCTGTTGCTGCTCAGTTTGTAGGAAACAGAAGTCGTATGATTTCATTGCCATTGGCATCTCATGAGAGTAACTTAAGGTTGGACTTCCAGGTCAGGGATGAGCACATGGGAAATGCTAGTGAGCCACTATGTAAATGCATCATAGGCTTAGAGAAAAGGCAGCATAGATACTAATAGAGCCACAACCTTGTGCTTTTGCTAAAACAGTGACAACTTTGTGGCTTTGTGTTTTTCCCCAAGGAATTTCAGAAGTTGTATCCCTTGGAGAACATCACCTTGGCCCCCGATTCCGAGGTCCCTGATGGCCTACCCCCTGTGGCGTACAACCCCTGGATGGACATCAGGCAACGGGAAGATGTCCAAGCCTTAAACATCAGTGTGCCATATGGCCCAATTCCTGTGGAGTTTCAGGTATCAAGGACATAGTTGGAGGATGTATTGGACACTGATGACATAGTGTCATAGGTGAAACCACTCTTCTCAGTAGACACAACTCCATCTATAATGTCTTATTAAGAGCTTTCTTTGTGTGAGTTATCGGGCAAAGAGCTGGGGTGGAGGTGTCCTATAGGTATTTAGGACACAGGCAGTGTTGCGTGGATCAGAACTCTCCCAGCCAGTGTCTTACCTTCTAAAGAAGGGAATATCCAGAGAGTTGGTGACTTGTTGCTTGTGGACACGGGTGGGGAAGCAGCCTGGGTGACCATTCCTAACCAAGGGGGATACTGTTTAATTTAGGTGATAGCTCATTAATTGTAGAGTGATGAGCAACTGCCGAGCAGCCCAGAATGCTTGGTTTGCTGGTACTTGCAGGTTCCCTTTGTGGGAAAAGTCCACCCTGGCTAGCTGTCACTCTCGGGGGTGGCTTGGTGAGCAGGACCTTGGTGCAGAGGGAACTGGGACACCATCATGGCCAGTGCCATCCAGTTGTGATGTCTGGCATTCCTTTGCCATGATTTAGGGGCAGAGCAACCACATAATTAGAATCCTCACACTGACTCATCAATCACCTTTTCTCCCTGGAGAGCAGAATACACATTGACTAATGCTCTTTCTGGAATATTCCACACAGAACCGTGCCCTTCTCTTACCACATGAATGCTGTGGCAGGCAAGCTATAGTGAATGGAAGATGGCAGGGTTTTCAAAGTATGCGTCCCGGACTACCTGCCTTGGAATTTCTGGGAGTGCTTGTTGGGAATGCAAAGTCTTGGCCCACTCAGATTTACACAGTTGGAAGCTGGAGGTGGAACCTGACCTGACAACCGATATTTCTTTAAAAAAAAACAAAACAAACAAACAAAAAAAACAAAAGCACACCAGGTGATTCTGATTCATCAGAAGTTTAAGAGTCTCTGCTGTAGTGTATTGTTTAAAACAAACACAATAAAACCACCGTATACAGATATCCCTTGCTATCCAAACTTACTTGGCCCCTGAGATTGCACAACAAGAGTGTGGGTGGTGAGAGGTGTGCATTCCTCAAATCCATTTGATTCTGGTTTCACTGAGAGTTTGGAAAGCAATGCATCCATCTGTTTTTTTTCTAATTTTGTGTTTCTGGGCTACTGATGATGAAGTGGCTTGAACTGGCCCTGAGGCTGCACCTGGATGCTTTATTAGTGACGGTCACTTAAAACGACCCTTCAAAATGGACTGTGTGCCAGGAAGGGCGCTGATTCATGTGTGGTATTACCTTTAGTCCTCATGGGGACTTAGTGAGGTACCTGCTCTCTGTTGTCTAGGTGAGGAAACTCAAGGCATGAAAGGTGTGCTGACTTGTCTGACAGCACAAAATTAGTGCTAGGTGGAGCCGATTGATCCCCAGGGACTGTAACTCCAAAGCCCCATGGTTGGATCTGTTGGTTCCCAGCAGTGTGGGTTCAAATTCATGTTCTACCCCATACCAGCTGCCTAACCTCTGTCAAGTCATGTTACCTCCCTGAGCCTCCCTGAGTTTTCTTCTCTATAAAATTGAAACAAGGTAGGTAAGATTTTTCCATGATAACACCTACTTTAGAGATTTTCAGCAAGAATCAAAGAGAGCATGTAGAAGTATCTAGGACCGTTTCGGCTGCACAGAGCGGTCTCCTTCAAGTTCTGTTAGTCCCCTCCTTAGACACAGTGGACAGCATGACTCAGAGGGCCTCCCTGATGCATGCACATGCTGGTCCCAGCCCTGTATTCCGCTTGAACTTGGACCTGTTCACTGTCCTCTTGCAGCTTTGGATGTCCGCATCCACGCCCATCTCACTGCACTCTTGAGCTCTGGGCTCTCTTCAGCTCCAGCCCTCTAACTCAGCTCCACATGAGCCAGTGACCTCAGGGGCCACACTCAGGAGTTTGTTGCCTGCTGCTTCTGAGTCACCACACTGACCACAACCTCTTCTAGCACCTCCCTTGCTCCACCTCACGGGGATTGCCAGAATGTGCATTTCTATCTCCCCCTTGTGTCCAGGGCCTGTTGGCTTTGTTGCTTTCCTAAATAGCTAAGGCCTGGTGGTAGGTGACTACTGTTCTTCCCAGCTGCTTAGCTCACCATACTTGTCCATTTATCCTTGCCCCTCCTGCAATACCCTTATCGTCAGACAGTCCAACCACACCCTCTGCTCTCCAGTCCAAGTCCTGAAAGCTGCTGGAGAAAATCCACGCCCCCACGAAGCAGGAGGCCCTCAAGATACCCCGCCTCCAGCCCCAGCAGCCCAGGCAAGCTCTCTGCTCAGCTCACCTCACTTGTCCTCTGCAGCTGCTCTGTTTGTATGACCTCTTCCCTACTCCCCTTCACTGCTCCCCTCCAGGCCTTTGCCACCCCTGTGCCCCATTTCTCAGTGGACAGCACCTTTCCTCTTGTAGAAATGGAGGCTGGTGGATAGGCAGAGGTAGGGGATCGGATGGGGTGGATGTGGGTACACATTCTGGCTGTGCCCCTTATCAACTGTGTGACTCTGGGCAAGTTAACTAACCCTTCTGAGTCTTGGAGTCCTTAATGTGCCATTCAGAGGATCAGATGTCACCTAGTGTGTACTTGTTGAATGGGCTCTATTAATAATCTCCGTCACTGAGATCTGGAATTTTGTGTTTGCATGTTCTGGGCTCGAGGCCTCTTCCCTCGACTCCCCACCACTGTCCCTGCTTCCCACGTCTGCAAGCAAAAAGAGCAAGGTCTTCCTTCTCACTCACCTTCCCTGCAGCCTCTCCATCTGCTCTCATCCCTCGCAGCTGCAAAAGTGCCAGCCTCCTTGCCCCTGCCTGTTTCTGCTTTCCACTCCCTCACCTGACCTCCAAGGCAGAACGACTGCACACTGGGCTGTTCTGGCTATGTCTGTGGCCTCATTGTCTATTTGTTCTTCTCTGTCGTCTACGCAGGCTTCCACCTCCCCAACCCACTAAACTTTCACCTCAGCACTGACCTTGGTGGCCAATAAAATCCATCTGTGTGGGTCCTGACCTTCCTTGAGCTCCGTGTCACTTCCTCACTGGCCAGCTCCACCCCTTCTGGAACTCCTTCCTCCTCCTCCTCCTCTTGCACCGCCTGCCCCCACATGCCAGCGAATTATGCCACCAGCTGAATGTGAAACCTGGAGTCACCCTGGGGTTCCTCAACACCTCCTCCTGCTCTGCTCCCTGCCCCCATGTCTACTTGATGCCCCTAAATTCCTCTCACATCCACATGGTCCTCTAGATCCTTCATCACATTGTTCTGGACCACTTTAGTGGGCCTTGCTTTGTTTTGTTCATTCAGCAAGTGTGGTGAGCACCTCTTATGTACCCAGCAGTGGCCTAGTACCATTTTGTCTAAAGCCTCTGGAATCTGTGTCTGTGTCCTGTTGCAACATGACTCTTAATAACTTGCAGCCCAGATCATGTCAATTTCTCGCCTTGAAAGACCTCAGTGACTCCATTGACCTAGAACTTGGAGTCTCCACTCCCTGGATAGACCCACCAGGTCCATATTATCTGGCCCAGACCTAACTTTCCAGTCACCCCTCTGCCCTCCCATTTGATTCTCCAGTCACATGAGCCTTTTATTGGCCCCACACACAACCTACTCTGTCACAACTCCACACTGTTCCGTGCCCTGCAGCCCCTGCTTGGAGCATCCAAGCCCCATTTGTCTGACTGCAGGCGCTTCTTGTCAAATTCTAACTCCTCTGTGAAGCCTTCCCTGAATCTCCCAGGCAGATTTGAGGGCTTATTCCCCTGTGTCACCCCTGGGCCTCTGTGGGGGATTGGTCAGAGTGGTGGGAAAAACTATAGGGAAAGGATACAAACCTTCTGAAAGGTCAGAAGGTTCTGCAGAGCCCCAGGGGAGAATAGCTGAAGGCAGCTATTCTATAACCCTGAGGCAGAGGGCAAGGAGTAGGTACAAGGGAGTGTGGGGGAATTTATCTTAAACAGTCTTGTTTACTTATGTTGACCAGGAGCTGACCTTTGATCATCTGTGCATGTGAGGTTCCCTGGAAGGAGAACAATAAATGTTAATTATCTACAGGTTGGCTCCAGGTTTTTGGCATTGTGCCTGCACTGAGTAAAAGCAAGCAGCTCCAGCTTCTCGGGGCTGCTGTCTCGCCACTAGAGCTAGGCAGTCACCTAGCTGCTCTTACACTGCATACCTGTGTCTGAGTACTCATTTCCTCCATAGGCCAGGGTCTGCAGGACAGACCCGGCAGGCCTCACTGATAATTAAACATTTTCTTGTCTCCGTGATTGTGTCCTCACTGGATGGGGTGGTTCGTCAAGGTTGAGGACCTTGTCTGCTTATTGCCTTACATCCAGGGGCTAGCATAGGAAGGAAGGAATACTTTTGTATAGGACACAGCCATCCTGACAGGTGTCTTTCTTCCCCAGGGGGACCAAAGTTCCACACGTTTCAGGCTGAAGACTTCATCTACCAGAAAGTATAAGTAGGCCAGGGTTCAACATAATCCTGCTAGAAAGTTAGATGTATATCTTTTCTCTTGACTGCAAGTGAGAGCGGGTGAATCTTATGATTGTCCTCACCCTGGCAGTGATAAGAAGAAGCTGGTGGGTCCAGATGATAAGTCAGGGACTGGTCTGAGCAGTCATGGCTTTCTTCTCACCCCTCTTTGGGGTGGAGGATTAATCTTTGTTCTTAGCATTTGTGAACCAGGCTGGGGATGAGAGCCCAGGAGGGGCCGGTGGCTCATTTACTTCAGGGTATGATCTGGCTGTTCCCAAAGCCCCTCTTGGGTTCAGGGACTGTGAAGGACGTGCTGCTCTCTGGTCTCTCCCTTGCTCTTCTGCCTGCTGACAGTTTGTTAGAAATGAGCTCCATGTAACGGCCATGGTCCATGAAAATATGCAGTTGTAATCTGCTGTTGGGTTAGAAAGTGATCAGAGGGAAAGGCTCAGTCAGGGTTGTTGTTATGTGTTAAGTTATGAATTTTTTTCCCTGAAAAGAGCTGTTGAAGTCCTAAACCCCTAGTACCACAGAATGTAACCATATTTGGAAATAGGTTTATTGCAGATGTAATTAGTTAAGATCAGGTCATATTGGAGTAAGGTGGGCTCCTGATCCAATATGATCAGTGTCCTTTAAGAAGAGGGGAGAGAGATAACTGGAAGAACACATGAAGATGGAGACACAGTGATGCAGCTGCAAACTGAGGGATGCCAGGGACTGACCGCCACCATCAGCAGCTAGGGAGAGGCAAGATTCTTCTACTTAGAGCCTTCAGGGAGAGAATGGCCCTCCCAACACCTTGATCTTGGACTTCTAGCCTCCAGAGCTAGGAGACAATACATATCTGTTGTTTTAAGCCACCCAATTTGTGATAGTTTATTATGGCAGCCACAGGAAATGAACAGAACTGAATTGTATCTTTGTGACCTTTATCAGAGCATGTGTGGGCCTGTGTTTCAAGGGACTGTAGGATCAGTTTCTGTGTACATGTTCATCTCTTGGAACCCATCAGAATATGTGAGGGAGACAGAAAGGAGCAGTAGGTGATACATTCATCCACTGTGATCTGTGCCCTAAAGTGAAATCTGATTTGCTTAGAAATGTATCTTATTTGTAGACCTACAGATTTTGCTGTGACTCTGTGGGTGAAGTGATGCAGACGGTAGGAAAAGGAGTGTTACATTTTGGCTGAGAAAATCATTAAGGGCATCAACTAAGGGGTTGGGATTGGGAGAGATACTCAGGCAAGCATTATCTCTGTATGCCATGGCAATTTAAATTGCAGTCACTCTCATTATTATGTTTTTTAATTTGCAGCGGAAAATCCGCCAGAGCTACTTCGCCTCTGTGTCATATTTGGATACACAGGTTGGCCGCCTCTTGAGTGCTTTGGACGATCTTCAGCTGGCCAACAGCACCATTGTTGCATTTACCTCGGATCATGGTAAGCATTTTGAAATTCCCTGGTGAGTCAAAACATCTGAACTTTCCTGTGAAACATGCTTTGCAAAATTGCCATTGACATAAACATGGGTTTGTTCTCTTTTGTGAACCAGTGGTGCCTTGAGTCTGGGATCCTGGGGTATTTTTATGATCAACTTGTTAGTCCTGAGACCTCTATCTTAGATGCTTGACGGATAGGTGTGGGTGGGTGGGGGAGGGTCTTGTAGCAACTTTTTTTTTTTTCTTGGTGAATGCAGCAGGAACCCTCCATTTGTGTGGCAGAGCTCTTGTAACCCCCATTTTTAACTGGAGGGTTGGAGGTCTTTTAGTTTGGGTGGAGAGGATCCAGAACAATCCTGGCAGAGCCCAGCAAGCTCTTCAGGCCTGGCTCCAGCCCTCCCACCCCTATCCCCACTGTCTTCTCTGCTGAGAGCCTGGGATTTTCAAGTCTTTATCTCCTTTAAGGCTGGTTCCTACTTTTCCAAAAATGAAACTATCTTTTTAAAAGCATTTTTTAAATTCTTCAACATTCCAAGAGCAGGGAATAAAACAGCAGCTCCCCCCGTTTCCCACTCACCCACTCCCCCATCTCCGAATTGTTTTGAAGCAAATCCCAGATGGTTCTGTTTTCTGATCACTATCTCTGAAAAATATTGCCTCTTTTGAAGTATAACCATAATACTGATATACTTAGAAAAAGGAAAATAATTTATATCATCAAATATGAAATAGGATAATAGTAAATCATAACCTGTGCTTATCGTAAAGAGAAAAAAGGATACAGAGCATATAATTCAGGGCCAGAACATCCTGCCCTTTTCTCCCACCTGCTCAGGGCTAACAGGTGCTAATGGATTAGGGATCCATCTGCCAGCCATCAGTTGTGCACATATGCACAAAGGGATATACATGTGTATGTTTGTAACATGTATGTCACAAGATGTGATTGCTTGTTCTGTGTGTACTGTTAACGTTCCCTGGTTTTGTACACTTAATATCATAGACAATCTCTGGGTCATTTCTCAGAAGCCTGCTTTTTCCCTTAGAAAGGTCTGTAATATTATATATGGAGGTGCCATAATTTTTCACATATTCCCAATGATCTGCCATCTGCTTCTGACCCCTCAGTGCCCAGTTTCCTTTTCTCCATGAACACACTCTTTGTTGTGAGGCAGCTGCCGTAGATTACAAATAGCCCATCTAAGAGTACCCTCCTGGGACATTCTCCATTAGAACCGTCTGGGAGCTAGTAAAACATGCTGGTTGCTGCAACTGGTCTCAGGAACTTGCAGGTCTGGGCATGGGAAAGTGCAGTTTAACAGTTGTCCCTGAGCTCATCATTCCCTGGGCCTCCCTGTGTTGCCACGTCCTCATCTTGGGCCTCGAGCAGGAGCCAGAAACCTCCTGAGCTGCCTGTCAAGGTCACTGGCCTCTTGTTCCTCCTGATCTTGAGACGGATCCTTGGGGCCCACACAGGCATGCGTTCTCCTTAGCCGGACTTCCCCGTATTTGCTCCTGGCTGCAGCAGCACAGGCTGAGGCCCGGCACCAGACGTTCAATGAGATCTTGCAGTCAGGCAGTCCACAGTTATTTCTATAGCATGTGCCATGTGTCAGACCCTGTGCCAGGCCTGGGGGCCACCTCTGCCTGGTGCAGGGCAGCTCACAAAAGCTGGCAGAGGCCGAAGGCTGCGTGCCAGTATTCAGAATGCCACAGAGCGCCTGACTGCTGTACCTTCAGGGCCTCCACGGGCACCCCAGTCAGAGTTTCAGGGGTGGATTCCTGAGGTCCCACTGCCGGGGTCCCTCACTTTGCCATCCTGCAGGCTTCTCCATCCTCAACCTTTTAGATTCCCGCCACACTGAATCTACAAGGGACAATGTGATCTCCAAGCTGGTGGCCTAGGAGCCTGCCGATAACCGACCCATTCATCAGCCCTCGTGGGTCAAGGCTGCCTCGTCCTCCCCAAGAGAGTGGAGAGGTTGAGCAGTGGGGCTACCCCTCGGCCCACGGGGCTGACCGACTGGGGCAGGAGTCAGGGGGAACTCCCTCTCTTTCTGCGCTCCACCGAGCTATCTGAAAGTCCCCACCATGCTCCCCAGTACTCACAGCCAGAGGGAGGAAGGGCTCACCAGAATCACTGGGCAACTCTGATGGGCATCAAGTCTGCTTTGATTATAGATGAGTGGGTAAGAGGCTCCTCTCAACTTGGGGTCTTCTTAGGAGAGCAGTGTCAGCGCAGAACAGGTTTCAGCCCTGTTCTGGAGACCACAGACGCTGGAAGGCTGGGACACCATTTGCAGCCCCAGCGTCATCTGTTAGACAGAGCCAGCAAGGTCTCACGCTGTGTGGTGTATTTCAGCACTTTCTCAAATTTACCCGTGGCAGCTTTTGGTGTGTTTGGTTATTTTTATAACACTACTCACTATACAATTTCTGTCATGCCCATTTTTTGTATCAAAAAGGGTGCTGTAACTTAAAAAGACTGGGTATTTCCAACTTGGAATATTCAAACCATCTTTTGCAGGGGACGTTTTAAATAGGCATGAAGGGTTGTGTTGTTTTTAATCGGGGTTAAGGATCTGGAATCAAAGGTTTTAGTTTACTCCATCTATGGTGTATCTTAAAATCTGAGCAAGATGTCCTTGCCTTTTTTGAATTTGATGATTGTGCTGCAGTTCCACAGCTCAGTTTTAGGTGGCACACACCCAAAACTGAAAACCTGAGCCTGGAGGAAATGAGTCAAAAGATAGGTAGGTACAGGACAGGGCAGTGGTGCCACTACAGCTTTCAGGGTTCCCACTCTGTCAAGGAGGAGCGTGTCTTAGCAGGGGAGGAATGCATATGTGGGAACCACCACAGAGCCCTACGTTAGGTATATGTTGCTAGTAGTTTGTTAAGATATTTGAGTTTGGAAATTTCATTATTTTTTCTTTTTTAAAGGTTTCCTCATGAGGACAGATAACTGATTTTGAGTACAGCAGCATTCAGTTGAAATCACCCTTTCTGTGGTAATTCCAAGTGAAAATTTTTCTTCTAGGTGATGAGTTTCTACTTTCTCTGGTTTTTACAACAGGAAATGAAATGGTGTCTAAACTAAACAAGCTGTGGTATGATGATTATTCATTTTCTGTCATTCTGTGCTTTTTATGAACTAGGGTGGGCTCTAGGTGAACATGGAGAATGGGCCAAATACAGCAATTTTGATGTTGCTACCCATGTTCCCCTGATGTTCTATGTTCCTGGAAGGACGGCTTCACTTCCGGAGGCAGGCGAGAAGCTTTTCCCTTACCTTGACCCTTTTGATTCCGCCTCAGAGTTGATGGAACCAGGTATAAAATATGCTGAAATGATATTGCTTGACAATAAGATCACCTTTAGTTTATATGTGAACCACTTTATTGAATCATAGGCTTTGGAGGTTACACAGACCCTGCTTCCTGCCTTGTGTTGGAATTTCTTCTCAACATTTTGTGGTCAGCACATGCTTCCTGAGCATCTCCCATGCTCTGGGCAGGGAAAGAGTGACAGAACCTGAACTGACAAGTATGGTCCCTGTCCACAAGGAGCCTTGTGGGGTGATGATGGACAAAGGAACAGGTGCATCCCCAAGATGAGGAGGGCTGTGGTACATTCTACAAGAGCCTGCTCCAGAGCTTAGAGGAAGGGGCTGCCCCCGTAACAGATGAGTAGAATCCTTTCCCTCAATGCACCCTTTTGGTAGGGACTCAGCCTCCTTTGTAGGGGGTACATTTTCCATTTTGACAGCTCATCAATCTAGTGAACCACTAGATCTGTAAAATCTACCAGGTGATTCTACTCTGCCCTCCCCAGCAGTGAAGAGCAAGTTTACTTTGACTTCCATGTACCAGTCCTTAAAAACTTTGAAAACAGCAGTGATGCCTCCCACCCTGTCCCTCCACCAATACCTTCTCTTCTCTAGGCTGAAATCCCCAGTCCTTCAACCATTCGTCACAAGGTAGTGTTTAGACCTGTGGTTGTTCTGGTCTCTGTCTTCCAAAATGTTTCAGTTTGAGAAAGCACTTCCAGAATACCAGTTGGACCAGATACCCCTCCTGGATGTGTGGGCAACCTGTGTGGGTTCTTGTGAGTTCTATCCTGACTCGATCTGCCCAGTGCATTTCAGAGACAGGTTGTATACTGTCTCTGAAATGGCGTATGATGTTCGCTGTTTTTGGAGCACCTCTTCTATGAACTATGCTAAACCAGATTGCCCCCTTTCTGGACTTATGCATTTAATCCATCCTTAATATCTAAATCTTGTACTGTATGTTGATTCCTGTTTAAATTTGTCTGGTTCTGGACCATCATTCTGGCCTTTCTGGATCTTTCCGAGTTTGCTTTATACTACCCAATTTTATTTTTTACACATTTGATTTTTGTGCACTGCATGCCCTGTCTTCTTTCATGTCATTGATAGAAAGGTTAAACAGTTTCAAGGCATGATTTTAGCCCTTTGTTTGCTGGGAAAAATCTGATTGGTTGAGAATCTTTTCTGAAACTTTCGTTGGGAAGCGTTCAGCAATTTAGAAATGGATGTAACTGCACTGCCTTTCAGTTTATTTCCAAATTTTATCTCTAGTTGTGTCTTTTCCCTGAACTTCAGGCTTTTGTTTCCAACAGTCTTTACCACTTAGCCAGCCTAACATATCCAAAGCTGGACTTCACATCTTTCATCTTCAGCTTTTCCTTCAGCACTCTTCTTGTCCTCAAGAAATGAAAATAGTCACTCATGCCAAAAAATCATGGAATAATCTCAACCCCGGTTTTTCTCTTACTCCATATGCAATACTCAGTCTATGAGCAAGCCTGTCACACTCCATTCAGACTCTGTGTACCACTTCCCACCACTTCCCCTGCCACTGCCTTGGACCCCCAGACTGCTGCTATCTTGTGCTGAAGTACTGCAACAGCTTGCTAAATGGTCTCCTTGCTTGTGCCCTGGATCCCTTGGAGGTTTTCCTCCTCAGAGCAGCCACAGTGATCTCACTAAAACCCAAGTCAAGTCATGTCACAGCCCGGCACAGGAGGCTCTTATGTACCCTTCTTGATCTGAGTAAAAGTCGTCACAGTGGCCTTACATGTTCTGGCCCCATTATCTCCCTGACCTCATCTTTTTATAAGTATCCAGGCCAGTTGTCCTATACAGTGTCCCACAGCCTGGATTTGTCTGATTGTTTCCACATGACTACATTCAGGGTAACATTCTTGACACGTGTGCTACATGGGCTGTTGTATTCTCCCATTGTGTCACATTTGGGGGTAGGGGGGTGCACTTCATGGCCAATGTTACTAGTATTGTAAGTTTGATCACTCAGTTAAAGAGCTAGGCATCAGCCAGATCTTGCCATTGTAAAGGTACCCTTTTCAACTTTCTTTACTTGTTTTCTTTTTATTTTACTTACAAATTAAGTGTCTAGAAAATGAAATCAAGCATGATAAAGCACTATCTTAAAGATCCAGAAGGGCCAGCATGATAGTGCAAATCCAAGATCAATTTTAACAGGAATCAATATAAAGTACAATATTTAGACTTTAAATATGGGTGAACCACAATGAAATACTACTTCATACCCACTAGGATGGCTATTAATAAAAAACAACATCAACAAAAAGCTGTGAAAGGCCGGGTGTGGTGACTCACGCCTGTAATCCCAGCACTTTGGGAGGCCAAGGTGGGTGGATCACGAGGTCAGGAGATCAAGACCATCCTGGCCAACAAGGTGAAACCCGATCTCTACTAAAAATACAAAAATTAGCTGGGCGTGGTGGCACATGCCTGTAATTCCAGGTACTTGGGAGGCTGAGGCAGGAGAATCGCTTGAACCTAGGAGGCAGAGGTTGCAGTGAGCCGAGATTACGCCACTGAACTCCATCCTGGAGACAGAGCTGGACTCAGTCTAAACAAACAAACAAACAAACAAACGAAACAAGTGTTAAGACTGTTAGTGATTATATGGAGAAATTGGAACACTTGTGCATTGCTGGTAAGAATGTAAAATGGTACAGCCACTGTGGAAAATAATTTGGTGGATCCTCAGAGTTAAACATAGAATTACTCTATGGCCCAGAAGTTCCACTCCTAGGTATATATCCACAGAGCTGAAAACAGGTATTCAATCAAAGGTTGTACATTAATGTTCATAGCAGCACTATTCACAGTAACCAGAAAGTGGAAGCAACTCAGATGTCTATTGACAGAAGAATAGAGAAAATGTGGTCTGTCCATACAATGGAATATTATTCAGCCTTAAAAAGGAAGGAAACTGACACATGCTACATCATGGATGAACCTTGAGGACATTATGCTAAGTGAAATAAGCCAGTCACAAAAGGACAAATACTGTATGATCCCACTCCTATGAGGTATCTAGAGTAGTCCAGTTCATAGACATAGAAAGTAGAATGGTGGTTTCCACTTGCTGGGTGAAGATGGAGAAAGGGGAGTTGTTATTTAATGGGGACAGAGTTTCAGTTGTGTAAATTAAGAGGAGTTCTGGAGATGGATGGTGGTAATGATGGCCCAACAGTGTAAATGTACTTAATTCCACTGAACTGTACACTAAAAAGTTGTTACGATGGTAAATGTTATGGTGTGTGTATATGACAGTAATAAAATGAAAATATAACTCTAATGCAGACATCCAGAAGGGGGTAATGTGTGGGGTGATCCTGTGGGACTCAGAATATCCTGTTCCTCAACAGACTTTTTTTACCTAGTGGTTTTAGCCTTAATTGATGATCCTTGTCTGAGTCAGTTATTACATTGGTGGTTCCAAAATTCAGGTTGTTTTAAAAAGTGCCAACAGGCTGGTAGGACTCTTAATTTTGCATCCTGCTATTTGATTGGATGAGTAATTAATGCAGGGTGAGGTGCTGAGGTGGTGTTTCTAAACGTCTGTTGTTGAAGATAAATGTTGTAAATTAAAAAAAGAAAACATGGAGCCCAGACAGGTTCCTTTGCTGATCCTGCCTGGCCATGGCAGGCTTTTATAATGTAACCCATTCTGCTCTGTTGCTTCCTGTTTCAGGCAGGCAATCCATGGACCTTGTGGAACTTGTGTCTCTTTTTCCCACGCTGGCTGGACTTGCAGGACTGCAGGTTCCACCTCGCTGCCCCGTTCCTTCATTTCACGTTGAGCTGTGCAGAGAAGGCAAGAACCTTCTGAAGCATTTTCGATTCCGTGACTTGGAAGAGGATCCATACCTCCCTGGTAATCCCCGTGAACTGATCGCCTATAGCCAGTATCCCCGGCCTGCAGATTTCCCTCAGTGGAATTCTGACAAGCCGAGTTTAAAAGATATAAAGATCATGGGCTATTCCATACGCACCATAGACTATAGGTATACTGTGTGGGTTGGCTTCAATCCTGATGAATTTCTGGCTAACTTTTCTGACATCCATGCAGGGGAACTGTACTTTGTGGATTCTGACCCATTGCAGGATCATAATATGTATAATGATTCCCAAGGTGGAGATCTTTTCCAGTTGTTGATGCCTTGAGTTTTGCCAACCATGGATGGCAAATGTAATGTGCTCCCTTCCAGCTGGTGAGAGGAGGAGTTAGAGCTGGTTGTTTTGTGATTACCCATAATATTGGAAGCAGCCTGAGGGCTAGTTAATCCAAACATGCATCAACAATTTGGCCTGAGAATATGTAAGAGCCAACCCTTTTCGTTTAGTCTTTATTAATTTATAATTGGTAATTGGACCAGTTTTAAAAAAATTTCCCTCTTTTTAAAACAGTTACAGCTTATTTACTGAATAAATACAAAGCAAACAAACACAAATTATGTCATACCTTCGGATACGAAGACCATACATAATAACCAAACATAACATTATACACAAAGAATACTTTCATTATTTGTGGAATTTAGTGCATTTTAAAAAGTAACCATATATCAAACTAGGCACCACACTAAATTCCTGATTATTTTGTTTATAATTTAATAATGTATCTTATGTAGCCCTATATATTCAAAATATTATGTTAACATGTAATCCATGTTTCTTTTTCAAATCTAAAGTTAAAAAAAATACCAGAAACCGGTGTCTTAAAATCTATCTTTTATTTTTGTTTTTAAGACCATGGGATTTCAAAATCTCACGATAAAATATGTATGAAGTAATTAATGTAGACTTTTTACATCAAATAATAAATAATGCTCAACAAACTAGAGATATGAGGTGTGTAGGAAATTTGGTTAAACTTTTTTCAGATACTTTCTGGCCCAAATAATAATTTGTTAACAAATAATATGACCCTTGAACTCAATGGCCATCTATTAGAAGACTGTTATTCACACTGGAAAACATTTAAAGATGTAATTATATCCATGGATGGATTGAATCACTCAAAATATATTAGTATCCTTCTTTAGGGACGGTTGGTTGCAGACGTGTTTATTCAGGAGGCACAAAATATTCCATTTTAATTGCTTGTTGAAACATTAAATTCTAAATTATTTTGAGGACTGTGAAGACTTCATTAGTGTAATATTAGGTCATTGTCAATCTCTCAGAATGTGGTTCTGTATTCTTTAAATATGAAAGTATCCAGAAAGGCCAGTGGCAGTAAAAAGCTTAGTGTATATAATCTCAAAAGGGATGGAATATTTACAACTCATATTCATAACATGTTGAATCTTATCAGTTATCAGTAGTCATCAGAAGTGTCAGCAGCTTTCTAAATAAATATTAAATATCTAATGTCCTGTAGTGAAGGAGTAATTTTTAGTAATTGTCTCTTTACAAAGTCTCCAGTGTTTCAAGGTAAATGTTTGTGAAACAAAATACAGCAAAGTACATTAAGTTACTGCAGTGTATTGTTACCAAAAATGACAAGATATTATATTAAAATCAGTAAATTTTAGACAGATTTTTAAAATTAATTAGCCTACAATAGAGGTATATATGGTAGCATGATGATCTTTTAAGCAGTTAAGTTACTGACTGTTCTGGCAACAACGATTTCTCTGTGACTGAAGGGCCCTGTTCATCTCCTGATCCTGAAGCTCGTCTCTCTCTTGAGCCTCGGCTTTCTTTGGTCAGTGGTTTCCCTCAGCTTTTTCTTCACTGTTCTTCATCCTCATTGTTGCTGTCATCACGTTCACTGTGACTTTTACAATACAGCCTGTAAATAAATTCCTTATGACATAGTTCAGTGCATTTGGCTTTATCGCCTACTCCACAGTTCTTTACCTTGACTTGGCTTAGAGAAACCATATCTTTGTTGCTTCATATAACCTTTCCCCAACCCCACTAAGCTGGACATGACTTATTAGTGGTCCTCCAGTCACTTTATTTGTAGAAATCTCTTATTTCACTTGAGCAGGGGTTCTTTCATATGGTTTAGCTGACAGCAGAACTAGTGATTCTAGACATTTTGAATGACTCTCATTCAGTGGCTCACAAACACGAGGGAACATCACAACTACCTGAGGGGCTTGTTAAAACCCAGTGCGTTAGAGGCCGGGCATGGTGGCTCACGCCTGTAATCCCAGCACTTTGGGAGGCCGAGACAGGTGGATCACTTGAGGCCAGGAGTTCAAGACCAGCCTGGCCAACATGGTGAAACCCTGTCTCTACTAAAAATAACAAAAGTTAGCCAGGTGTGGTGGCACATGCCTGTAATCCCAGCTTCTCAGGAAGCCAAGGCACGAGAATCGCTTGAACTGGGAGACGGAGGTTGCAGTGAACGAAGATCGTGCCACTGTACTCCAGCCTCGGCGACACAGCGAGACTGTGATTTTCTTTGGAGACTCCTAGATTTTCTGTGGATTTGAACTGAATTTGTTGGATGTTGGCAGGTTCCTCTTATGAGCTGTTTCTTTGCCCTGCATTACCCCACAAAGACTTATCTGGAGATGAGCAAAGTATGTTTGGTAGTGAGGTCACGAATGCAATCAGCCCCTTCTTCCCCACTCCCATTGCCATCTTCTCAGTCCTTCTCCCTTTCTTTCCAAGTAGTTTACCCACCCCTCCTCCTTCCTCCCCTGTCCCTAAAATAATCCATGTGTCTTCCTAAAATCTCTCTTTGATCCTGTCCTTTGATAACACCGTCAGTGCCTACTACTGGGTCTAGACAGACCTCTGTTGAGCAGTCAGAGTCTTCCCTGACTCCACAATGCCCCTTTCCTTGGCTGACCAGTATGACTACTGGTCCCCACCTTTCCCTTGCCTATCCCTACCTCCCTCCTACTAGGTTGTCCCTCCCTCTCTTCACCCATTCATTCATGACCATTTTTCACTGCCAAGCTCCCCCCCTCTCCTGAAGGAGGCTGAGGTTTCTGTGACTTTCTAGACTCTATTGTGGGATGGAATGAACATTGCTAAAGAATCTGGTGTTTGCTTTACTTTAAAAAGGTATTTTTTTCCTAATTATAAAATTGTTGTGTCAGTTATGGAAAAATTAGAAATGCAGCACAAATACATGAGTATTTTACTGCAAAATTGCCAGATAATATCTTGTCTTTTTTGGGGGTGTGAATTTTTTGCATTGTTGTGGTCATATTGTGTTCTTTATCATGCAATTTATGTTCTTTTTTTTACTAAGTATTATGTGTGGTTATTACAGATTTTCACAAAGATACTTTGTATTGCTGGTAATATATTTTATTGCATAGTCTTATAATTTACTTAACCTTCTTTCAGTTGTTAGAAATTTAGGTTATTTCCAGATTTTCAGTATTGTAAATAATGCTGTGATGACCAATTTTGTGAATAAAATGTTTTTATGTATTTCAGATTATTCCCTTAGGATAGTCTGTCAGTGCCAAGTTGTCAAAAACATCTCTCTTTTGCTTCTCTTCCTGCTCTCCTGCTGCCTTAGGGGGTAGTAAACTGAAACATAAAGTAAACATGCATACAAATAAAAAACATAAAAATAAGCAGCCTGATGGTAACAGGTGAAAGTGGTAACCTGTTTTAACTTTGAATTCTGGCCGGGCGCGGTGGCTCACGCCTGTAATCCCAGCACTTTGGGAGGCCGAGGCGGGTGGATCACAAGGTCAGGAGTTCAAGACCAGCCTGGCCAAGATGGTGACATCCCGTCTCTACTAAAAATACAAAAATTAGCCGGGTGCGGTAGCGGGCACCTGTAGTCCCAGCTACTCGGGAGGCTGAGGCAGGAGAATGAAATGAACCCGGGAGGCAGAGCTTGTAGTGAGCCAAGATCGCGCCACGACACTCCAGCCTGGGTGACAGAGCGAGACTCCGTCTCAAAACAAACAAACAAACAAAAAGCTTAAAATTCTTTGCTTGTTAGTGACCTTGATTGTGGTTCTCTTTGTGCGATAGTTGGGCATTTGTATTTCCACTTGTGTTAATTTGCCTTTAAATTTTGGTTATGGGTTTCACCTTTTAAAGTAATCAAACATATTTATCTTTTCCTGTGTGATAGTTTTTTTCTGTGTCTTTTCCTGTTAAACACATAGACCCCTCCCCAATCTGGAGATTGAATAAATACTCATTTTCCTTTGCATTGTTTGTGGTTTGGTTTTATGCTTACTGTGTCTCTGCACCCCATTATCAGAGTAATATATGCTCATTACATAAAATCTGGAATATGTGAAGACTGGAGATGAAAAGAAGCCCACCATTTGAGACATAGCCACTGCTGACATTTGTATATTTCCCTTCACTCTTTTACCTGCCTAAAGACATATATGCAGATGTGGACATATTTAGCTTTACATAGCTGCAGTCTACCACGTATAATCTATATCTTGTTTTTTTTGATCTAATAAAATGTTTGCTTGGTTTTTTATGTCATTGACAGTTCTTGGTTAGCAGCTGTAATGGCTGCACAGCCCTGCTTCATTATTACTATTTTTTGTACTGAAATGTATGTACCACTTTCTGCTTATCCATTCATCCACCAATGGCCACTTGGGTCATTTCTGCCTTTTGGCTATTGCAATAATGTTGCTGTCAACAAGGATGTACAAGTATCTGTTCGAGTCCCTGCTCTTAATTGTTTTGGGTATACACCCAACCTACATTAATCTTTAATCACTTAAAATGTTGGGCTTTGTGCTGGGAGGTAACCAAGGTAACTCTGGAGCAGCCTAACCCTGGCTACAGAGGGAAACTGACTCTTCCCTCTCTGCCCAATCTTTCACCACCTCTCAGGTTCCCAAGCTGTCCATACCTCACTGTGTGAAGGGCTTTGGGTATAAACTCCCAAAGAGAGGCTCAGCCCCTTTTCCTTTCCCAAGTTCATCCTGGAGATTATAGCTCTTCAGAGGAATTTCTTGAGTTCTGGCCTGGGATCTGGGATTAAGGTAGAACCCGGGTTGTCCCTTGGGGCCTTAGGGATAGTCCGTTGTGGTGGAACCTGCCATCAGCCCCACTGCACTCAGTGGTCCCCTTGTACTCCAGGACAGTTTCTCTCTTCTGCACATGAGAACTTCAAGCAGAGAGGACTGTCATTAATTGGTGCCTTCACATCACCCATCGTTTGGCCATAATGGCCAAGAGCCCTCACTGCGCTTGGGTCTTGCCTTTCCACATGTTACTGAAAGCTCCTGTTGGTGTCCCTGTCCACTAACTCACCTGATGGGGCAGATGCCCCTTTCCTCTGAATGTCTGATAAAACACAATCTGTTGTGGGGAGCCCACACTCAAGGATTTTCTTTGGGATCAGAGTTTCCCGGCTGTTAGTCCATGCCCTGCTTGAGATCACTGTCATCTATGGTGCTAATCACCAAAGGATGCCCTTGTTTGATTCTGGATTCCAGGTGATAGTCCTTATCCCCAGATGGGGAAAGAGTTTGGGTGGGAGAGAACAAATGTGACAAGTTGGCTTCAGGTGAGGTGGCTGGGAGCCAACCCTCAGGTACCTGGCTCCGTGTAATGTGACGGCCCAGGCAAGAGGGCTCCCACTGCCAATGAGGAACAAAAGCTTGAGGTCTAGTAGTGTATTCAGCACATGCTAGGAAACAAGAATTGGGACGTGGACGAGGAGCAAAGTCCAGGGGTTAACTGCTTTTGGCTTTTCCTCTATAAATAAAGTCAGGGACTATGATTTATGTGGGTAAGAAGGTTTGGAGTAGGACTGAAGCTGCCATTTACAAAACCCTTGCCCTAATTTATTGTAGTTTTGGGTGTGTTTCCGAAAGAATCTTTCACAGGTGATTTTTATTCAGTACTCATTAACTCACAGATTTTATGGATTCACATCTTCTACACTATTGAAAAACATATCTTGGTATTTATGTTAAGTGCAGCATGAGTTATTATATGAATAAATCACATTAAATTTGCCATTATCATGTGTGCAATTCTTGCTGCTGTTTTGGGACTGCTTGGTGCTGCCTTAGAGAGGCCATTTAACAGATCTTGAGACCGTGGTACAGGTTTGCCCCCTTAAAGTATCCAACCTGTTCCTCCCCATGTGAGGCCAAGGCAGCTGTGGCATGGGTTTTGTTGAGAAGTTGAATTCTTGAAGGTAGACAGTGAGTTGCACTTGACTGTAGACACACTTTTCTGGGCAGTGGTATGCCTCTCAGCTTGCCCTGCAGTTATAGTACAGAGACTCACCAGAAAGAAAGAGGAAGTGGGCTGACCAATTAGGTAGGCTTAGGGAAACCATATATGCAATAGCAACAAGGTAGAGGAAGTAAATTAATGGGTTCTTGGGGTTCCCAACTGGAAATTTGCCTGTTTACTGGTCTTGGCTTAGTGTCTTGATGAGCCTTAGTTTATCTTTTTCTACCTATCCTACTGGTTTTGACTAAAAATTTGGCAGGCAGTGCTGCTTATATTGGTGAGGACACTGGAAGACATACATTTCCAAATAGATAAGGGCAGGTTGGAAGGATTGAGTAAATCTCAGCAGGTGAAGTAACTTCAATGTATTCATTTACTGGCTTGTTTATTGGGCATGGTGTGAAGTTTAAAAAGCACAAACATGAGGGAGGATTGTTTGAGGCCAGAAGCTCAAGACTAGCCAGGGCAACATAACAAGACACCCATCTTTACACACAATTTTTTTTTTTTAAATTAGCTGGGTGTGCTGGCATGGCACCTCTAGTCCCAGCTATTGGGAGGCAGAGGCAGGAGGATCACTTAAGTCTGGGAGTTCAAGACTGCAGTGAGCTCTGATCAAGTCACTGCACTCTGGCCTGAGTGACAGAGCGAGACCTTGTCTCAAACAAAAAAAGGCACAAACATGTATACAATGAAGAGTCATTTCCTCTTCCATCCTGTTCCCCAGTTACCCTATTATCCTCAGAGGCAAGCATGCTTACCAGTTCTTGGAAACTGCTGAAGTTTGAAAAGGATACATGGAGACCTAACAGGCAGGCCCCAGAACCAAGGTGCTAGTGAGGGATGACCCAAGGGAGCAGTATTGCACATGCAACCCTTTCACATTGTGGCCAACAGCTCAGAATGGGGGTGCGGGGTGGTGTGGCTGCCAGGAAGTGAAAGGCATCTCAGGCTACATAAATGGATATCCAGGAGGAAGGAGGAGGTAAGCTGCTCTGCCTATGTGCCACGGTCAGCCAGCACCTGGAGAACTGTGTTTAGTGGCGAACACGGAGCTGTCATGTAAATGTGGACGAACAGGAGCCTGTTGAGAGGACAGCCCTAAGATGGGTGAGACCCAGCATGTCATGTGAGGAACGGTTGAAGAAGTGTTCAAATGGGGAAAGAAAAGACTCTGGGGTGGGTAAACGTAGGGGTTGGGGGGAGAGCATGGCACTATCTTGAAATTTCTGAAGAACCATCAGAGGCAAGAGAGATTAAACACACTATCTAAAGCCCCAAGGGAAGATCCAGCACTGGACCCTGCAGGGAGACAGATGGCCATCCAGAGGTTGAACTTTTGGCTGGGCATGGTGGCTCACGCCTGTAATCCTAGCACTTTGGGAGGCCAAGGTGGGTGGATTGCCTGAGCTCAGGAGTTCGAGACCAGCCTGGGCAGCATGGTGAAACCCCGTCTCTACTAAAATACAATTAAAAAAAAAAAAAAAATTAGCCAGGCCTGGTGGCATGCACCTGTAGTCCCAGCTACTCGAGTGGCTGAGGCAGAGGAATTGCTTGAACCCGGGAGGCAGAGGCTGCAGTGAGCCGAGATCGTGCCACTACACTCCAGCCTGGTGACAGAGTGAGACTCCGTCTCAAAAGAAAAAAAAAGAAAAAGAAAAAACAGAGGTTGAACTTTCTAACAGCAGCTTACCATTGGATGAGCCTGCTCCTAGGTGTGGTGAGTTGTCATCTGAGGTATGTAAGCATCATGTAGGCAAGAGGTTCTCAATAGAGAGCAGTTCTCCTCTTGGGACATTTGTCAGTGTCTAGCGTCATATTTGGTTATCACAACTGGGGAAAGGCTGCTACTAGCATCTAGTGTGTAGAGGCCAGGGATGATAGGAATCACACGCAGACAGCACCCCCTCCCCAACAATAAAGAACTATCTGGCCCAAATGGCAATAGTTCCAAGGCCGAGAAACTCTAACATAGGCACACATTTGCTACAGAAAGAAAAACTACTAAAATCCCTTCTTTCTCTGAGACTTCTATGATTGGAGAATGCATGTTTAATTATTAAAATAGCATGCTGACTATATAAGGTGATTGGCCCTTTGCATATAGCCTTGAAAACATTTTTAAAGATTGTAAGGAGCTTTCAAATCAAGATGAAGATTTAAAAACAAACCATTTTATGTATTAGTAGTAGTAGATTGGATTTCTCTTTCTTCCTCTTCAGTGGAGAGACCCTCCCATCTGAGTTTCCTCTCCCATAGAAAATATGTTAAATAGGTGATTTCTTTAAAAAAAATAATACTGCATTTTTCCTCAGTTGAAAAAGTATTACATATTCATCACAGAAAAATTAGAAAAATATATAAAAGCAAAGAAAATAATCTAACACCACTGTTTACTTGGTTGGCATAGTCCTTCCCCTGAATAATATATAAAAAATGGATCATACTCTATCTCCCATTGGTTTTTCTACACCGTGTGTGGTGGCAAGTCACCTGTAGTCTGCTTTTCACACTGCATGATTTCTAAGGGCTTCCCCAAATTCAAATTTCTATGACACACAAATTGGCAGAATTTCCATATGAACATGTGAGGCCTTTTCCTGGAGGACAAAAGTAGAAACGTCTGAGTTTCCTTCCTCTCCCATGACGTCTAATAAATGTGAATGTTTCCACAAAAGAAAATACTGAGGCTGCTGCTTTTCACAGCCTTGAGTTTCACGACTCTGTTTGCTCACAGCGTGCCCTGGATAGCCCAGAAACTCTATGGGATAGAGACATCCACCACCAGGCCATAGGCTTTTACTCCTTTGTGTATCCATGTATCCATCTGATACATGCATCCACTGATACTTTGTGTATCGGTGTATCCATCCAGGTTTCTACCTCCACCAGGTATCATTCTGAAGCCATCTCCTATCACTTGGACATGCAACCACTTCATAACTGGTTTCCTACTCTTGCTGCACTGCAAACAAGTTCACACAGTTCTGA